TAAATTCAGAGGCAGAGGACCTAGGTTTGTGTCCTGGCTCTGTCACTTAAATTTTTTTAAAATTATTTTGTTTATTTTTAGTTTTCAACATTCACTTTTATAAGATTTTGAGTTCTAAACTTTTCCCCTCCCTCCCTTCCCCCTTCCCAAGACAACACGCAACCTGATATAGGCCAGGCGTGCACAATCATATTAAACGTATTTCTACATCAGTCATGTTGTCTGGCACTTAAATCTACTGTGTAACATTAGGCAACTTACTTCCTCTCTCTGGGCCTCCTTTTCTGCATGGGTAAAATGACCGTCACTTGACCTTGCCATCCTTGCAAGCCCTCGTCCCATGTACCCTCTCCCTTTCACACACAAATACCTAGAAAAAGCTGCCTGTAATCTGTTTGAATTCCCCTCCCATCACTGATTTCTCCATCCTTTGCAGTCTGACTTCCAACCTCATTACTTAACTGAAAGTGCTCCTTCCAAAGTTATCGTTGAGCTCTTACTTGCCAAATCCAGTGGCCTTTCCTCAGTGCTCATCTTTCATGACCTTTGTTGTGTTTGACACCGTTGGTCCCCATCTCCTGGACACACTCTCCGCTCCGGGTTTTTGTGACCTTACTCCCTCCTGGTTCTCTTCCTACCTGTCTGACTGCTCTGTCTGAGTCCCTCTGTGGGATCATCATGAATGTCCTGAGCCCTAAGTGTGGGTGTACCTCAAAGTTCTGTCCTGGGTCCTCTTCTCTCCATACTTCTCACATAGCAACCTCATCATCTCTCATAAAAGGCAGCTAGGTGGTGTGGTGCAGGGGGGCAGAGCACTGAACCTGGTATCAGGAAGACCTGAGTTCAAATCTGACCTCAGACACTTCCTAGCTGTGTGACCCTGGGTAAGTCACTCATCTCTCTTGGCCTCAGTTTCCTCGGCTGTAAAACGGGGGTAATCTATTGGACATCTCAAACCGGATGTCGGGGGTAGACATCTCACACTCAACACATCTAAGCCAGAACTGTTATCTTTCCCCAAACACCCGTGCATTTTCTACACTTCGTCACCCAAGCTTGCAACCTGGGGGGTATCCTCCGCTCCTCGCCTCCCCCCACTCCGCACATCCCGTCGGCTGCCCAGTCGTGCTGATTCCAACGCGACAACGTCGCTCGTGGATCTCCCCTCCTCTCCACTTGCACCGTCACCTCCCCCCAGTTCATGTCTTCATCGTCTCTCGTCCGCGTTATTGAAATAGCTTCCTAATTGAAGTCTCTCCGCTCTCCTGTCCGTTCTCCACACAATCAGAACGCTATTACTCAAGCATCGATCTGACTGTGTCCCTCTCCTTGCTCGGTTAACTCCAGAAGCTCTGCCACCAAACGCAAGCTTCTCTGCTCTTCGTTCAAAGACCTTTCCAACCTGGCTCCAGCCCATCTTTTCAGGCTTATTACACAACGCACTCTTTGGGCCTGTCCTTCTTGTCTTTCACTTGACAGATTCCACCTGCCTTCTGTATACCTTGCTACTGGTTGTTCCCCATTTCTTAAATTTCTCTTCACTTTTACCTCTTAGAATCCCATAGCTTTCTTCAAAGCTAAGTCCCAGGGCCACCTCCTACATGAAGCCTTCCCTGCTCCCCAAACTATTAGTACCACTTGGCAATAGTCTTTAATTTGTATATCTTTTTATGTATTTATATACAAATGTGTACATTGTATTTTCCATGATTGAATTCAAGCTTCTTGAGGGCAGGGACCATTTCATTTTTATCTTTGTGTCCCCAGCACCCAGCACATGGTGGGTACTCTCTCTCCTCATCTCGGCCTCTTGGCTTCAAGTCTCAGCTAAAATCCCAGCTCCAAAGGAAGTCTTTCTCAATCCCTCTTAATTCTAGTGCTTTCTCTCTGTTGATCATTTCCAACTTATCCTGTACATGGTTTGTTTGTACGTAGTTCCTTGCATGTTGTCTCTTCCCCTGGAATGTGAGCTCCTTGACTCAAGGAGCTGTATTTTACCTTTCTTTGTTTACCCAGTTCTTAGCACAGTGCCTAGCACTGGTGCTTAATTAAAATTATTGCCTGACTGCTTAAATAATGCTTATTAATTGCTGGTTAAAATGTGGACATTCAATGATCTATCTGTTAGGTTGTTTCTAGTGTTGATGTTCTGTGATTTCTTTCATGATTTTATAGATCTTCTCTGACCCTTTCAGCCTCATTTCCAAAATGAAGAGATTTCATCTTTTCAGTTTGTCCTCATGCTACCCTGAATGTCAGTGGCATCTAAAACCAAACTTGTTACTTAGGAAACAGTTTCCTAAAGATAGCCTCCCAGTCATAGACCCAGAGTGACGGCTCACAGACACCATCTCGAGATGACAGTCCCAGAGTCACAGCCCACAGAGGCAGTCACTGTCACTCTTCCCAATATACAGAGCCTCAGTCCCAGGTCCACAGAGCTGGCTCCACAATCTAAGTCCTACCACATCCAGCACATGTGTGCTTTAGGGATCAGGCTGCAATTCCCTCACAGTCCAAGGTCACGGCTTCTTTTTCTAGGCACATTGGGACTTTCCTGTATGTCCCAGTGATCACTGACATTTACCCCTACTAATCTCCGCTCCCCACCTTGTTCAAAATTGCACACTCCTAGGATGTTGAAAGGGTCATAGGATCCTAGATTGGAAGCCGAAGGGCACATTGGAATTAGTCTAGTTCAACTCACTCATTTTATAAATAAGGCAACTGAGGCCCAGAGAGATCAAACAACTTGTCTAAGATTCCATAGAGAATAAATAGAAGAGTTGGGATTTAAACCCAGGCCTTCTCACTCTTTCCACCACCTTAAACTCATAAGATGGAATGGTGCCAAGATGGAGTTGGCACTGGCTTTTCCTGGGTCAGGCATCCAGGGAGTCTATAAGCACCAGTAGGGAGTTTCTGGATATGTATGAGGTAGTAAAGGTCAGACTGGGGAGGACCTTTAATGCCAGTTAATGAGTTTAGACTACAATCATGAGACAGTGGAGCCCTCTAGGAAGCCTCCATAGGTCATCACTGAGAGTTTCACTCCAAAAAATTGTTGCCACCAGTTTGCTATCTATGCCCTAGGGATCCAGGATTCTTGTAGAGCTTACCTCGGATAGGAAAGAACTATCATTCTCTGCTCATGAATATGGGGAAACTGAGGCCCAGCTGTGTATGGAGGCGGGATAAGAGTGGGAGAAGGGTCCTGGAGCTACAAACCTTCCAACCTAAATGTCTCTACTGACTCTTCCTTCCCCTTTCTCTCTGTGCACATTTCTCCTCCCACTGGGCAGGGTAGAGGAAGGTCTCTTCAGCCCTTACTTCCCCTACAATGGGAGGCAATAGAAGGCAGCTCCTGAGGTCTTGGAGATAGAGGGACAAGTATATTGTTGGGAGTGCATCTTTAAGGGAAGATGACTTGGGAAGTTCAAAGTCAGTGGAGCACTGGGCTTGCTAATTCATTATGTTCCTTTTATAATCTTTGTGCCCATCCCTCCTTCCTACCCATCTGCATTGCTACCTTCTACTTTCCTTACCTCCACCTTATCCCAATTTTTATCCAATTCAATTTGACGAATATTAATTGTCTGCATTGGTAGAGGGAGTTTCTCATCTGGGATCCTCTATAACAATGTAATCACAGCCTATGATTTAAAAGCAAAAAACAAACATGGCTCATTTCAAAGTGCTTTAATGTTTACAATGGACTTTCCTCACAGCTACCCTGGGAGACATGTGGTCCCTGCTTTATTCTTTTAAATATCATTTAATAGTATTTTTATCACCATTTAACAGAGCATAAAACTGAGGCTCAGAGAGTTATGTGCCTTGCTCAGGGTCTCATGGCCAGTAAGGGGCAGACCTGAGATTCAAAGGGTGGTTCTGCTATTCCAGTCTAGCACTCTTTCATCTATCCATTACAATGGTAGACATGTTAAACTGGCTGTGCTGGGGGGATGTCCATTCAGGTGGAGAGATTCAATAGGAAGATGGAATTTTGGGATTGGAGCTCAGGAGAGGGGCTGGAGATAGGGGGAAAGATCTGAGGAGTCCTCCAGCTAACAGTTGACATCCAAAGGTCAGAGGAAAGACCTATGATTAGAGGTCAACAAGAATGGAAGCCAGTGAATGAGACACAGGAATGGTCAGAAAGATAGGAGGAAAGTCAAGACAGCGAGGTGCAGGGGCCCCCAAACTTTTGGTAGTGAGGAGCCATTTCTTTTGAACAAAAGTCTTGAGTCTTGTGAGCAGAGTGGGGATGGAAGAGGTTAATGGGAGACCACAATGGTCAGGTCTGGGATTAGGGAAAGGTCAGAACAAGAGACAGTTGTTATGAGCTTTGGGCTTTTTCAACAGGATGTAGGTGTGGCTGAGAGAAGTCACTGTGGGTGGGGAACCTATCCTGAGATCCATCTAGTTTGTCTTCCACTCAAGAATTTAGGGATTCCTGGAACTTGAGTGTAGCTGAAGACAGGAGAGAGTGCATTTGGATGAATATCAATATCAGATGCTACAGAGAGGTCAAGGAAGAACAAGACGAGTCAAGTGTGTTCGCATATCCATTTCCATCTCTCCCCATCCATTCCCCACTTCTTTCATCAATGACCAGGCATTCAGTGGTTTTGTACCCTGGATATACTGTCTAAATGGGCATAGTGGATAGTGGTGTAATGGACAGAGCACTAACCCTGGAGTCAGGATGACCTTTGTTCAAATGTGGCTCAGACACTTACTAGCTGTGGGATCCTGGGCAAGTCATTTAACCCTGTTTGCCTCAGTTTCCTCATCTGTAAAATGAACTGGAGAAAGAAATGGCAAACCTCTCCAGTATGTCTGCCAAGAAAATCCCAAATGGGGTCACAAAGAGTCAGACACAACTGAACAGTGACAACAAACACTGACTATCCTGAGATTCTGGAAGTAGGGACAGGTTCTACCCACCTCTCCTAAGCCTGGGCCCTTCTCCAGCTCTTCCCTCTTCTCTCTTGCAGGTCCTGGCTGTCTCTGATGGAGGTGAGTTGGAGGAAGGGACCCAGCCTGGGTCCTGGTTAAAGGATTAAGAGGAGGGGCCCAGATCCCACGTTTGGGTTAGGGAGGAGAGAACATCATGCTTGTGTCTGACTTTCCTTCAGGAGCATTGGATCTGTGTGAGGGCCTTATTGTGTGGGGGGGGTGGTGGTGGTGGCGGTGGTGTGTGTGTGTGTGTGTGTGTGTGTGTGTGTGTGTGTGTAAAATCAGGGGCATGGCTGAGGGGGAAATTAGAGGTCTGGCTGGGGGAAGTAGGGAATAATGAATGTTTATTGAATGAATGCACATATGATGGGGGGCTTCTGGGCTCAATGCATCCTGCAGTTGATTTGTTTCTCTCCCATCCTCCTCCTCCATCCCCCCAGAGCTGAGCAGTGTGGTGGGGCCAGAGGAAGCTGGGGAGGGCCGGGGAAGCACCCTCAGTGTCCACAGTCTGCCCAGTGGCCCCAGCAGTCCCTTCACCTCTGAGGAACAGCCTGTGGCCAGCTGGGCACTGTCTTTTGAGAGGCTGCTGCAGGACCCGCTGGGTCTTGCCTACTTCACGGTGAGTGCCCAGGTTGGGGCAAGTGAGCAGGGGCGTGGCTGTGGTGGCCACTTCCCTTTCTCTGTCTCTCTATGTTCCTTTATCTCGGACCTTGTCTTTGTTTCTAGGAGTTCTTGAAGAAGGAGTTCAGTGCGGAAAATCTGTCCTTCTGGAAAGCTTGTGAGCAATTCCAGCAGATTCCAGCCAGTGACACCCAACAGGTTGGACGCTGGGGGTCCTGGGGACTAGGAGTGATGAGCGTGGAGGGAGAGGGGCGAGGGGCAAGATAGAGGTGCAGGGCAGCTGGGTCGGTCGCTCCTGCGAACGGCCCTGCCACCTCTACTCTGCCACTCCAGTTGACTCAGGAAGCTCGATGCATCTATGAAGAGTTCCTGTCTAGTCAGGCTCTGAGCCCTGTGAATATTGACCGGCAGGCCTGGCTCGGGGAGGAGGTGCTGGCCACCCCCAACCCCGACATGTTCCGGGTCCAGCAGCTGCAGGTATGGGGTTAAGGAGAGCCCTCCCCTTCCCTCTCTCCCTCAGCTTTTTTTCTTCCCTCTTCTCCTTTTCCCTAATCTGCTTGGTGATCCCGAACAAGAAAGCTCTCTTTTGGGGGACTTCTGTTTGCCTTTTCTATAACGTGAGAGGGTTGGACCAGAGCAGGAGTTCTACACTTTTGTGTGTGTGTCATGGCGGTCTAATGAAACCTATGCACCTCTTAGAATAATGTTTTTAAATAATTAAAGGAAAGGCCAAATTTCATTTAGAGATTAGTGAAAATAAAGATGTAATTTTTTTCCCATCCAATTTCATTGACCTTGGAAATCTATCTGTAGACTTTGTAGGGGTCCATAAATCCCAGATTAAGAAGCCCTGGACTGGATGATTGCAGGGGTGGGCACCATCAATGGAACCAGCCTTTCCCCAAGGGTCCTTGGGCTCCCTTGGCCTGTCGGGGGTCCGTGGACCCCCAGGTTCAGAATCTCTGCACTCTATAATCCCTAAGTTGCCTCCAAGCCTTGGATCCCATGCTGCGCCCTCCCCCTCACCCCTCTCTTCTTCTCTTCCCTTTACACTGCTCCTCTTTGTTCTTTCCCTCCTCCCCTCAGATCTTCAACCTCATGAAGTTTGACAGCTATGCTCGATTTGTCAAGAGTCCGATGTACCGGGAGTGTCTCCTGGCAGAAGCAGAAGGGAGGCCCTTGTGTGAGCCAGGCACCTCGGACCCTGGCAGCCCCAATACCACATTCCGGAAGGTGCCCACTGGGGCGGGAGGGTCTGGGTGCTGAGAATGAATCCCCACTGCCATCCATATGCCCAGAGCTGAGCCCCGATCTGTCACACACACACGCGCGCGCGCGCACACACACACACACACACACACACACACACACACACACACACACAC